CACATGAAAATAAGTGTAAATAATCTGAAATTTTATTTTCTCATCTCGGATGCATTTACTAAAAGTGAATGAAGGTGATATAAATGTTGATATAAGTGAGGATCACTCTCTTCTCACTTTCAAGATGGTAGAAAATGCTTTGTAATATCATTCATATCTTAGGTTATAGAAGGAACATTACTTTTGCTACATTCTGCATAGAGTATCGATAATATGAGTATTCATGTCGTCAGAAAACTGTATACAAATATCATTCTGAATCAAAAAGAAATATCAGTGTACCATTTTGCAGATTGAGTTTATCTATGTTTTCTATCCACGGTAGATATGTGCAACTGATTATCCATTAAAATACTGGAGATACTCACAAATACGATTGAAACCGATATAGCCTCGGCCGGATACTTGAATTGAAACATTTCCTGTTACATTTGGAGAAGATGTTGTCATAACGAAAACGAATGTCATGTTAGCTTGAAGAACAGCTGTGAGATGAAACTGATCTTGGTTATCATATTCCTCATTATAAGTGAGTCCCTTTTTGAACAAATCGAATGGGTTGAAATTGTTTGTATAGACATAATCGTACGCAATTTTCATGTCGCTGTTGATTAGAAAAGTATAAAAGCCAGTTATAGTGACGTTAAATTGTATCGTCTCATAATAAAAATGTAACTCTGAACAATCTTCGAAATAAGTTGAACTATTCGATGTCAGTGCTGATGAATACACTGATTTTACAACTAATGAATTATCTATTGAATCAAAATTAAATCAATAAGTATCTATATTTAAAAGAAAGAAACAGATATGGTTGCATATATTCTTAATTTGATTTTCATTTTATGTTTACTAGTGGTAATTTAATTGATGATCATTCAATAATTTTTAATAAAGAAATGAAAAAAACATGAAATTAAATATGTACATACTGTCCTCGCAATAAGTATTGACGTTAGCTCTTTACATCTGTACGTCCTTTCCAAGAAATACTGTAATAATTCGAATTATGAAATTTTATAAAACCTCATGCATAAAAATGAGTATCATTCCAGACTTTCAAATGTATAATTTTTTCATTATCATCTTTATTTTCAAACTTTTCTTCTTTCAATAATACATTGTAGAACGTTAGTTTTTTTGTCGATATCACTTAGCATAATAACGAACTATCTGATAAAAGTACTTTGTAAATTTTTAATTAATCTACGAGTATGGCATGGTATCATCATGAAAACGTCCGCTGGAAGTAATATTCAGTCTTAACCAAACAAAATATCTTAACAGTTAATTATCTGTTAAAGTATTATAGAAGCGATTCTTTAGTTTATCTTCTATTCTAATAAAGTGTGTCTTGAACAAGCTGGTAAGCATAGAGCTTTTTCCTCCTCATCACCACCAGTAATTTTCGGTGAAGACAGAGACTTCAGTTTAAATCTTACTCCTTTACGATAATCCTAATTCTACTCTCGTTCATCAACAAAAATCATGACCGGAAATATAACATAACTGGTTTTCTAATCTCAAGTGCATTAGTAACATCTCGAATCATTACAATTATGCTACGAGTTGTGATTGACACTCGATCATAGGATTAGTTTTCTCTGGCATAGTTTTAAATCTACAAATTTTAAAATATATTGAACAACTATGCAAAACTACTTTTTGTTGATTTGAAAACGATTCGCGAAACTTCTCTTGTAATGAGTGTCTCACATTTCATAAAATTATTGTGTTCATTTTTTCATGAGATTAGCAGCGGCATGTGGACGTTGGTATTGAGAAATCAAAGAAAATTGATGTAGAAAGCCCAAGAAAAACGACTCAGTTTATCCCTGACTTTACTACTAAATGTATAAACATTCTAACTTTCATCTGTATCAAGCAATTAACATGACGATAATGTTATCGATTGACTTTTGTCGAGAATTATAAATAAAGAAGTTTTTAGACTTTTAACAATAGTAGAGGAAGATGAAACTCGAAATTTTTATTTAACTATTCAACAATTCAGTTTGAAATCACTCAAGAGTTTCATTTACATTTTCTATGATAGTTTCTCTTTTTAATTTTCTCTCAATAAATATTGATTGAAATGGTATTGAAAAATTTATTCAATCATTCTAAACGTACCACATGATTCTTCGAACAATTGAAATTTTTGAATTCGATGATTTGATTCATCAGTAACAAATATGTTTCCAAAACGATCAAAACTAAAACTAAGTGGATAATTCAATTCATTGTAGTGTGAACTCCTTCCATCACATCCAACTAAACATCGAAAACCATTCAAGCCTGAACCAACAATACGATGGTTGGCGCGATCCACTATGAATAAGTACTTCTCTACATCTAATAGAATTCCAGTTGGACAACTAAGCGTAATTGTTGGATTTAGTGATGTATCTCCAGCCACTGTTATGCCATTTATTTCTCCCGGCTGGAACAATTGAACTCGATCATTTTCACAATCTGTCACATATAAATCCAAATTCACATCGACAAAGATTCCACCAGGACCAGTGAGATGATAAGACGTTGATCCTTGTTTACCGATACCAGCAGCAACGCGATTTGAAGTGATCACAGAATCGTTCAATGATCTTTTCACAACTTGATGATTTTGAAATATTGAACAGTAAAGAGTATTCTTGATATCGACAAATAAACCATAGCACGATGAGGAGACATTCATCACTGTGACAAAGGTATTTGTTTCTACGCTCCATCTCTGTACTCGACCATTCCAAACACCATCATCAATATAAATATCACCATTCAATACCACAAAGAGAGAATATGATTCTGTAAAATTGCCAGAAATGAACTTTGTTGGATGCACACTCTCTTCATGCCATATTAGAATTGTTTTGTCTTTTTGATTAGTGACATAGATTGTACTGTTTGTGTTCACAAAAATTGCACGAGGTTTCGAACCAACAATTGATTGATTAGCAAAAGTAATTCCATTGGAATTCCAAGTAGCTGTTGGACAAAATTTTGGTTGATTGAATGAAAGAGCTGTAAACAAGCAAAGAGAATAACTGTGAAGAAATAAAATTGTTAGTTTATGTTATTTTTTCAAAAAATTCATCAGGATTAATTTTGAAAGAATTTTTATGGTTGTTGTATTTTCTTGGATGAAATGTGAATATCAACTGAGAGAAAAATGAATCTATCGAAGATCAACTTATTTTATTGAATTTTTTCTTATGAAAGAAAAAATGATATGTTCGATTTTTGAAACATCGATTTTCATTAGAAAAATAAAAGTAATCAAACGATTTTTTTTAATTTATCAAACAAAAATGAATCAAAGGGGGGGGGGGGGGGGGAACCAATCGTTCGAAATTAGAACAAGATATCTTTGAAATTCAATGAATTTTCCTATTAACCTTAAAGAGAGTATGAACATATAGAAGATTTGAAACTGTTTGATTTAAATTTTGTATATGAAAGAGAGGAGAAAAGTCTTTTGTTAATTTTTAATTAAATAATTACTGTAAGAAGTTATTTGAGAAAAATATTTTGTAAAAAAGAAAAAATTTTGAAATAAAACGAAAAAAAAAGATATCCTGTTTCTTTCATTAATAATATGTTTTTGTTGTTGTTTTAATCTTTATCGAAAAAAACCAATTTACTTTCATTTTTGTCAAATAATGATTAAATTTAATCAAAATTTTTTCCTTTTTTTCCTTTTGATCTCATTATTTCAACTCGAATATTTTGAAAAAAGTTCAATCATCATCGGTCTTTTCAGAGATAAGAAACGTTTATATGTATTTCACCTTTGATTCATGTGTGGTCTTACTTAAGAATATTCTTTTATCATACTCTAGTGACAAAATACAAGGGAGAAACAGCAGAATCCAGTCACTTGAGTTCAGATGGATTCATGGATTCTTTCGGTCCCCCCCCCCTAGATCAGAACCATCACTTTTAAATAAATGAGAAGGATCCTACTAAATAAGTTCTACGATCTGTGATTGGACTTTCTTCTGTTTAACTACAACTCTAATGGACAACATTGCTTGTGCAATGGCTGATCTTCAATATGTGATAAATAAAAGTATTTACCTGATGTTTCATTTTTGAGAATAAATAAAAGAGTAATAATAAATACATAGATATTCCACATCATTCAACAAGATTTATTCTTTAATAAATTAGTCGACTGATAAAATAATCTTCTTCTTTGTCTTCGATGAAAGCAAAACGACACGCATTGTAGATTTACTCTCTAGTTATATCTCTCTCTTTTTCTCTCATTCATTTCTTCTAGAATAACAGAGAGAGAAAAAGTACTGTTCTAAAGAAGGTTTAGTCGTAGAGAAGACAAAGAATTGATTTCAGATTTGAATAACGATGATAACTGGTCATCTGATTGAATATTTTCAGATGATTTTCATTGTCCTCGAACGTACAAAATGAAATTTAAATTCGAAATAATCTTTTTATTTCTTTTTGATTTTATAGAAAGATCTTTGATTTTAATGAAAAAGGACGTGATAAAGATAGAAGAGAACTGATCAAAATCTGCTTTAATCATCAGACGTGCTTTAACTGAAAATAAGATATTAACTATCATCGTCAATAAATGACTGACGTCAATGAATAAGTCATGACTAGTTTGATGTCTTTTTTTGTTTGACTGTGTTAAATAATCTGCTTTATCAGGACTCGTTTTTAATCACGTTTTTTCGTTTCCGAATAGAAACTTATTAAACATATAGAACAGTAGAAATGTCCATTACAGAACAATGGATTTTTTGAGAGACAGCATGAAGATATATAAATTTAACTCTAAATTCAATATTTTCAAAGACAATACTCTAACAATAGAGAGATCGTCTTAATTAGTAGCTATAGTTGTATTCAAACATAATACAATCGTGAAATGCAAATCAATGATCTAAAAATATTTCTTGCAATCCGACGGCGACAAATTTTCAACCAAAGTCGGGAAACGAGTCGGTGATGTGGATGAGTCGAAAGGAGATGATCAACCATACCCAGCGCAACACGAATCGATCTATTCATTGTTAAAAATCCTGCAGCAGAATTAAATGGTTCTCAATATTCTGCAAACCTTCTGACTAAAAATATTTAATTCGATTTTGTTAATAGAAAATCTCAGAATGAGGTTAGCAATCTATCATAACTTCAGCAGAAACAAAACTTCTATCTCATGCTGTTGATGACGTACTTTGTTATTGATATACTATTCCTGTTGATGCTACGAGTGATCGAGAAACTTATCAACAAATAGAAAAAGTTCATGAATTTGAGAAGTATTTTTTTGATTAAAAAGGAATATTTTAAAATTAAGATTGAAAGAAGTAGACAATATTGATAATTGAAGCATTATCAGATCGGTTTTTACAAAACTCTCAGCATTATATTTTCTGATATGTCCAAACAGAGGTCCTATTACATATTGATATGAAATTACTTATGTATTAAAATTATTTTTTAAGTATTATACCAATATTCATTATTACATTATGAGCATAGACCAACGTCTATTTCTAACATTGTTTCTTTCTATGTACATCATTATTTAGTCGTTTGAAACAAGCAACGACCATACATAGATAAGGATAACAATAGAAAAAAAAGTAGTCATCGATCATTTCTCATTCTTTCCCCTTTTTTTGTTTCTGTTTGCGCTTTCTTCCTTGACCGTTTCGCCTCACTAGCGATAGATAGTCTATCAGCGTTTAATTTTCTCTCTTCGTTTTCTTATTCGTTCGCCATTATTCAGTTTCATGCTTTTAAACTAGAGCACGAATGAGTAGTCGTTCCATTATGTATAGTTCATTTATCTTCGCGAATGTTGTTGGATAGCTATTTCTGAGAGAGCACACATATTAAATAGTTCTTTTTATCAATGATAAGTGACGATGAATGATATGTGAATATTTTTAGAGCTAGGAATTTTCTTATGTTATGCTCATCGAATCTAATAATTTAAAATTACTGTCATTGTATTTTCTTCTTTCTCATTTATTGTAGATATAGTTTTTACTAATAAACTGAAGATACAAATTTTCTGTGAAATATAATAAGTACAGAATTCATTTTATCATTTCTCTGTTAGGTAACTTAAATTTCTACTTCCTCAGCTGTACATCAAGGAGAGTTTTTATTTATTTTGAAATAAGTCGACTAGGACGGCTTTGTTGGCACAGTGTATAAAGATTTGTGATTTTGTATTAGTGTGTATGCAAATCTGATTAAACAATTTGAAATTAACTTTTATTCACACCAATTTCATACGAATCTATTAGGTCTACATCTCCATATACTTTTTTAATATCCCCATCAAGGATACGGACGCTATGGGATAGACTTTTCGTCCCACAGGTCGATGCAACTCATCCCATTCCATGGGACTCATTGAAAAATAATATCTATCCCATCCCATGCAAAATCCTGATTCCCATATCCCTGATTTCTTGGATATATAATACTGTTGATCTTTCCTCATAACAATAAATCGAGTATCTTCGCACATATTATCAAGACTTCTATTGAATGACTTTTATAGGAGCGATCAAATTCTGATTGTTCATACACTGACATTTTTTATCATTGCAGATTATTTGTGAACAAAAGCTAACAAAGATACATCATCGAAAAAGATAGTTGAAATATGTGGAAAAGTTTAACAATTGTATTATTATCATTTATCATCGGTGAGACATTTTGTGGACCAGTACGCCGAAAAGATCCAAACAAAATACATAGTTTAAAGTAAGTTATTGTTTTTTAACTAATTAATTTGTATTTATCTTATGCAGTTCACTATGTCATATACTGAATTATGGAGAATTTAATGATCGTGGTATAAAGACATTTACACTGAATAATCCTAATGAACCCATCAAGAAATACCAAACTGGATACAAAAATCGTGTGGAATACGTTCGTGCAGGTATGATTATTCTTCATAGTATTCTGAATTTTCAATCAGCAAATATTGGTATGGAGAGTCAGAATACCTTAAAATCTCTTGATTTTCTGACTTCTAGGAGTGAGTGTACAGTAGCTTTACTTTATAAATGTTGGTTCCAATTCTTGATTGGGAGAAATATTTTCGAATAAATTTTTCGATTTATAGTTTTTGAAATGCTTTATTTGTTTTATTTTATTCAACATAGTCATTACCGTTCAAACTGTACAGAGCAAAGGTTCAACAACCAATGACGCTACTCGAAAATTTGCACGAGCAATGGGAAAGCTAACAGATGATGCTGGTCATATTATTGGGAATAATTTAGGTGGTACTGGTCGAAATGTCTATAATATTTTCCCACAAAGTCCTAATATCAATCGAGGTGCATGGAGTCAAGAAGAGAAGGACATTCGTAATTTAGTCTTGACTACGAAACAACCTATTGAAGTTGTTGTTCAACTATATTATCCAACGACAACAGCAACAAGACCAAATCGTTTCACATACCGAGCAGCTTACAACAATGCTTGTCATTCAGCTAATGTCATCAATCCTTGATGATCTTATCTACTCATCATGCAGGCTTTATTCCTTTTTTGCTTATTTTGTTCCTATTATTTATCTTCTTAATACTAATAAAAACATACTAATCTTAATCTTTTGCATGTTGATTTGTTGCTTGTATAATGAGAACAATTTAGCTTTACTACTTTAGGAGGCTATTCTATATTCTGATAATTAATCTGAATATTTTTATGTTAAAAATGAATATGAAGATTCATAGAAAGATCTATAAATATGAGAATGAGGTCGATATTAAGAACTGTTCTGATTATATGTTTAAATTTTGAATGCATCAAGACTTAATACTCCAAAGTTAAAGTATTTTCCATGCCAGAGCGATGTATTTTTAAGATCTATTCTTTACTCTATAAATTTAGGCTCAAATGAATAGATCTACAATTTCGAAATATAAGATCTAATTGTAAATATCTAAATTATACTTCTGAGAAGATTATATAATGAAGTTGTAATTTTATTAGCACAATATCTGCATAAATAACGTTTATTAATTATGATGAAGCATTTTAATTGATATAAAACTTGTCAAATATCGTCACAATGATCCACTTACAAAAATACTTCATATGTATTCTTACGACATCTTGAGGGTATAAATATTCTATTTCATCTATACTCTATAGTTTCCACTTGTCCATAATATATACTGGATATAAAAGATAAATGTGTTTGTCTGTATCACAGATATACAATGATAAAAGAATAAGAATATTCTGCTTTTTTAAACCCATATTATATGAAAAGTACATAGGCTATTTTTTCGTTCTTATAAGAAAATAAAGGCATGCTCAAATTGATGATACCTATAAGTATGTTTTTCTCTCTCTTTTATTCGAGTATCATAAGAATAAGCATTGACAACGACTAGAATTGTAATGGAAAGTGATACGATTATAACTAAATCTCAAGATACCGAAAATTACTTTTTTAGCATGCTCTGAGAAGAGAAGCACATAATGAATGAGATCAATCAATACGATCTCTTTAGTCTAATCCTATACACTCTGTAGACAAAGACAATCATCATGGTTAATTTTTCATTATTAAAAATTATTTTATTCAAAGTAACACTCGTCAACTAGATAATGGCTTCGATGAATCAACATATATGATATTCTCAGAAACGACACATATAGAAATGATAAAACTTTTGAATTCAACTGCTCTTGAGGATCTAAATCTTCGCACAACTCACGCACTTAAATTACTGTTCAATTGTTTCTGTGCATCATAGTTGAGTTGAATTATTGCCGATAATTTTTGCATGATCTGACAATAAGTTATTATATTAAATATCAAAATCAAAAACTTTCCTTTTAATAAGTTAACCTTTGTTTTCAAAGGCACGCTCTTTGATGAAACTTGCAACAGAAATGACACATTATTACACAGAACTCAAATTTATCATCAATATGAGAACCAACAAAACTGAACTTTTGTATTTCTATTAGCAGTTGTTTGAAACAACATTTCAATCGATAGCAGAAAATGGACTTATGGATGACTCTGTACGTTTGTGAATACAAGAGAGAAATACATTCGTATTCACTTTCAATCTATACTTTCATAGTTGAACACAACATCATCGATCTAATAATATATATCTGACTTCCAGATCCGTTACTTAAATATTCAATAGAATCGTGTGGAATAGTTTTATTAGGGGGAAGTAATCATTCTGATAGGAGGACTAACTAGAGAAAAGCAAAAAAAAATATTTAGTTATCGCAGCTGCCAGCAATAGATTGCCAGCTTCCATTCACTTTGCATTTGCAGTATGCGTAAGCAATTCCTCGACATGAACCAGTTACAGCTCCTATATTCTTGCCGATGCAATTGGCTTCACAACGCGCCGAATTCCATGGACATCCGCAGGTACCAGCCGAAGCTACATCTATAAGGTAGAAATATATTTATGCTTACAAGCTCTTAAAATCATTTTTCACATACCAAGTGTAGTTCCAAGAATGAGAACGAGTACGACGAGAAGAACGAGAGTACGAGCCATAATAATGTATTTTGTTTGATTTCGAAATAAAATATAATTTGGATTTGTATTGAATAGCTTATAGAAACATCATTTATATACTTGTCTGCCTATCAAGAGTATTACTTGATTTTTACTTTATAAATAAAGATTATTTTTATCTTCATTTTAAAGATAAAGATAATCTTTATTTGCAAAAATAAAGTTAAAATAAAAGATAAAGATATATTTTTTCATGCAATAAGTACATATACAAATAACATGCGGTGCAAAAGTATTTGCACAAATGTCTGAGTCTGTTAAACCATATCACCATTCTTGAAAACAGTCAATTTTTTTTATCAAAGTTGATGTAGGTAGAGTTTTTCAAATGCTGCATTTTTGCACCGGTTTTTTTTTGTAGTAATCCATTTTATTTAGCTTCAACTAATTGAGAAACATGAGATTTTCTAGTTGCCAAGACGTTTTTACAGGTGGACGGTTTTTGCCTATTTTATCTTCACAGTTCCATTTCAGAGTGTGCTCTTTCGACTAAAAAAGATTAACTGGTTTCGAAAATGGTGATATGATTTAACAGACTCAGACATTTGTGCAAATACTATTGCACCGCATATTACTCTGTATAACAACAGAATACATTTATTAATGCACTTTTTTTTATCATCATCATCATTTCCATATGATATATCATCAAAAAAAAGGATCACACAAGAACCAATCTATATGAAGTGCTTTTATATATTATAGTTAACTACATAATATCATAATTTTGTGTGAGTTATTCTGAGAAAATAAAAAAATACGCTACGACAGAAAAAAATGTTTATTCTTTATTTTATCTTTATTATAAAGTAATACCCATACGGTCTAGACAATGTGCCAATCCAAACGATGGTCGGTGTATGGTGTGGCACTTCCGTATCATGTGATTACATTTGTATGATGTGATAGTTTTGTGTAATAGGATACTAACTGTTCTGACGCCTGTGTAAGGGACGAAAAATATTCAGTAAGATGTGCGATTTCTTAAATAAAATATACATAGTCAATATTATACTTCAGTCTAAAAATCACTACATATAATAACGTGCGAGTAAGAAAGAAAGTGAGGTGTTTGACATTTCATTTGTACGTTTTTTTTGCACATAACCATAAACCTTAATTTACGATGTTTCTTTTGAAAATACATAGGAAAAAAATGGCACGCAATTATTCTAATGAACAACATGAAATAGATGGTATTCAGGGTGTGGGTGTTGGTCTGGATAAATGAAAGTTAGATTCACACCCACCCTCAAGATTGTCAAAAGACAAGAGAAATATAACTATGAATGCAAAGACTCTTGTGGCATTTAAGATGAGACACCGAGTTTGGATGGATTGATTGAAACAGAGTTAAATTTTGTATCATTTATTATTATTATTGTATGGTTTATATTTTCTTTATCATAACGAATGATTTGTATTACCCTTAAATATGTATGAATTTGTAAAAGTATTAGTTTGCGAAAAGTAAATTGTTTAGTTTCAACAAAATTGATTAGTTAAGGAATTAATCGGCAAACAAATATTATTTTAATATTAATATGATAAATATATTATTTTCATAGTTAGACAGATACATTTATTATATTTACTATTGAAAATATTTCTTAAAACCTTTTCAATAGAAATTGAATAATATAATTGATTTTTATTATCTGTTAATCTTCTATTAAAATCGTTTGATTTAAATAAAAATATTTTTCTATGAATTAATTTAAAAACAGAAATAAACAATTCAGAAATTAATACAACAATCAATAAAATGAAAACGGAAATAAATCCATTGACTAATATCCATATGCATAAATTATTCTTTATTGCGTTTTTCGATCGGATAATGATTCTACTAAAACAGTTATATGTGAAGTATTGAAAATCAAATTTGAATTCCACAGTAAATGTTGGGTTTCTCCTTGAAAACAGAGACACTATAAGTTGTTCACAATTTTTTTATTTGATTCGTGAGTTGTTTCTTCTCAAAGTTATTGAATTTACTTTGTAGTTTATTTTTAGACATTAATAAATAATCCATTTCGTATGTATCATATTTTTATGACTTATTGAATATCTTTCTCGATATATTTGTACTCCGTTCTTCAACTTACTATTTTCATCAAAATCGATTCATTTTCAAACAGCTTTTAGTTTCTTACATTGCCGTTCTTATTTGCTCGTAATACGCTGTTCTATGGATTGACAAGAACGAGCAAAAGAGCCAAACAAGAATTACTTTGTGTAAATACATACGAATACAAAAAAACAGAAATAACCATCGTGCATATAAAACATTTCTTTTCGCTTGATTCACTCATTTTTGGTTTTTTAACCGACTCTTTTCAAATATCTTGTTGATCCTTGCTTCGTCTTCTGAGGTAGGTTAATGTTATTTGATCATAATTTCATGTTTATATTCGATAAAATATTATTATTCATGTTGTGTACAGATATATTCATATTAGTTACACTCAGAAATATTATTCATGTATTTACGTGGATAAGGTAGTAAATAAAGTGATAAAGGTAAAAACAAGTAACATGAATTGACGCGATCCACTTGGTCCATTGATTGGACAAGTTCTGCGGACAAACAGACAAACACACAGTTGTTCAAGAGATTAAGACCTTGATTACAGTCAAGGGAACATTAAGTTGTTAGAAGCATATCGTAGAAGACCTTTGCAAATATCTGATCGACACGAACAATACAAACTTTCGTCCGTATAATAATGGGAAAAATTATGAGCCAAATATCATGTAGACAAACAAGTAAACTCATAGGCAATTTCAGGGTTAATGCGCATCTTGAGAGTGTGGGTGTATAATTAATACAATATCCACACCCAGACCCAAACACATTTCTTTAATCAATAATAACATATTAATCTTTTATTCTTTTGATTCACATCAAAGTTTGTAAAAAACTGACATGAAAATACCATATATAAATGAAACAATAATAGAGAAAATACCACCTTCTTTGTTGATTGCAAAAAACGCCGAATTTATTCGATAATCATATATAGCTTAAACACATAACATTTGAGAACTCTATATACTATTTTTAGTTTCTTGAGTTAAGATGGCCACTGGTGTTCTATCAAATGATGATTTTTACACAAACATCGATGATAAGTCTTTGGAAATATTCTCACTTATTTGGCTCGATGCGAATGTAGATGTTAAAGGCACTCGAGAAACAGAAGTAAAATTACGTTCTATTATTAATCATATCAAGAAATTTCAAGATGTGAAACAATGTCAACATTATATTGAACAAACATCACAAAAAGATCGATTAGTAATTATTGTTAGTGGCCGATTAGGACAAGAAATAGTACCCTACATTCATCAACTTCGACAAGTTATATCAATTTATGTTTATTGTATGGATAAGAAGAATAATGAACAATGGGCTCTAAAATTTACAAAAGTAAAACTATTCTACAAAAATTATTATTTCATTGTATTATTTTTTCATAGGTCAAATCTGTTGTTGTTGATCTTGATGAACTTGTCTGTCAAATTACAGCAGATCATAAAATTCAGAAAAAGGTAGAAGAACCATTATCAATCAATATTTTCACAACAAATGTTGATGCAGGAAAATCAACAACAGGAGTTAATGGGCAATTTGTTTTTTCTCAAATTCTCGTTGACTGCCTTCTACGACTGAAATCAACTGAAATAGACAAAAATGAACTTATTAATCTTTGTCAAAGTGAATATGAAGGAAATTATACCGAACTAAGCAATCTTCGTGAATTTCAACAAGATTATTCTCCTAATAAGGTATTATTGTGGTATACAAAAGAAACATTCTTTTATAAAACTCTTAATGCAGCTTTGCGTACACAAAATATTCATATGATTTTTTTATTTCGATCATTGATTTGTGATCTTTATCATCAATTGCAAGAATACCAATCTAAGGAGTTTGTACGCGTTTACCGATGTCAGCTAATGTCTAACGATGAATTACATAGTCTTCAACAAAACATTGGCCAGTTCATTTCAGTAAATTCATTTTTCTCCACCAGTGATGAACGTCGAACAGCTCTCTTCCTTCTAGGTGATATGTCTACACAGATTGATTTAAAAAGAGTGTTGTTTGAAATTGATGCTGATCCTAACATAGTCAATACAAAACCATTTGCTAATATTAGTAAACATAGTTATTTTCCAGATGAATCAGAAGTTCTCTTTATGATTGGTTCTATTTTTCGTCTTAATAATATTGATCGTAATGATGATCAAATATGGACCATTAAAATGACTTTATGTAATGATGATGAACATGATTTAAAACAAGTTCTTATGCATATGAAACAACAAATTGAAAATGAAGAAACAAATCTTCGAACATTAGGAAATGTATTATGGGAAATGGGTAAATTTGATTTAGCTGAAAAGTATTTTACTCGTTCGTTGAAGCAACTTCCATCAAATGATTCATTACATATCAGTTTATATGAAGATCTTGGCAAACTCGCATCACAGAGAGGTGATTATGATATGAGTATGAAATGGCGTAAAAAACTACTTACATTCAAAGAGGAAAATCCATTAGCCATTAATGTTAGTGTTAATAAAACAAACGATTTCATCGGTGAGTTTATTGAAAGAAAATCTCTGATTTACAAGCGAATGATCTATATAAAAATGAATCTTTTATCACCGAAAAAAATCTTTAAAAATTCAGAAAGGTGAGACAAATAAATATTCTTTTACAAAAATTTTATTTTGTGTTTATCAGTTAGTCATTTTAGATGAGAGAAAATTATTTAGAACTGAAATCAAATCTATACATTCAATATTCACCAATACCAACTCTATTTATATTTATCTTTTCCTATTATTAGACTGTTACACGTTTTTTACAATAACATTAATATTTAGTTCTTTGTTGATCGTTCTAGATCATAGCACTTATATGAATAAAGTCAGAGATCTCTCTATTCAATAAAAAATCATATAGGAGAATATGTATACTGTATTAGTTATGTAATTCAAGTGCAAATATAGATGATGAACTTAGTGATTAATGTCGATTCATAAATATATGAAAAAAATCAAAGCGACACTTTCATGTAAATTTAGAAGAAAGGGAAAAGAAAACGTTTTGATTCAATATCATTTATAACTCAAGTTATATAGCATGAAATGTCTAATTGAATTTCTAATATAAATCTTAAGGATGTGGGTGTGGATACTGTATTTACCTAGCACCCACACCTTCAAAGATAAACAAACTCATTCAGATGAAATTAATCAAATTTTATTTTCAAATGAAAAAAACAATTTTATTAAATAAATTTTAAATTTAATTCAAATTACAATTAAATCAATTTAAATCATTTTTATTTTATTTCATCTTAATCCTCTCAACATATTAATTCAACAAAACAAATCCTTAACATATATTTTATATAAATTATCATTTTTGCCTTATTAGATTTTTAAATAACACTTTTTATTCATCGATTTCATTTAAATATAAATAAAATCATTTTTCTTTTAGGACAATCATTTATTGTCAATCATAATAATATCAACACAAAATGGAAACAATATGGAATTACTGTTGCTGGAGGAAATGGACAAGGCAATCAATTGAATCAACTCTCTTATCCTGAAGGTATTTATGTTGACGATGATCATCAAACTGTTTATATTGCTGATTGCGGAAATGATCGTATTGTTGGATGGACATATGGAACAAAGAGTGGTCAAGTTGTTGCAGGTGGGAATGGACAAGGAAATCACCTCAATCAACTCAATTGTCCGAGTTATATCTTCGTTGATGAAGATTATTCAGTTTATGTATCGGAACGTGACAATCATCGTGTGATGAAATGGATGAAAGGTGCAAAAGAAGGTATTGTTGTTGCTGGTAAAAAAGGTGAAGGGAATCGTTTGACACAGTTGTCTGGTCCTCAAGGAGTGATTGTCGATCATTTGGGTAATGTTTATGTGGCAGACGGCGACAATGATCGAATAATGCGTTGGTGTGAAGGATCTTGCGAAGGTAGCTTTGTTGTTGGTGGAAATGGAGAAGGAAAGCAATCAAATCAATTCGACGGTCCCACAGGTTTATCAGTCGATGCCCAAGGTAATCTATATGTTGCCGATTATCATAATCATCGAATACAAAAATTTGAAATTGATTTGGATTAAGTTTGTTGATGTTGATGGTGAAATGAATCGTAAATTGTTGGTGAAAATATTTTTGTTTATTTTGATTGAAAAAAAAATAAATTAAATAAATTTTTTATATTTTTGATTTAGAATAATAAAATAAAAGTTTGATTTATTTGTTGATTTTGTTATGATTGATTTTATATTATATTTTAATAATTAAAATTAAATTTTCTGATTCGATTAAAGATGAGATAATCTGAGAGGATAGAAAAGTAAGATAAAAGAATATTTTCATGTTTTAAAGTTGTGTGTGTGTATGAATCAATAAAATGATTGATAAGATGAAATGAAATAGATCGAATTAATATTTTGTGTAAATAAAACTATTTTAAAAATAAATATATTTGTTAATTTATTTGATTTGATCTATTGTGTTGATTTTATAATAATGATAATGAAATATTTGTTATTTTCATTTTGAATTTATTAAATCTGATACGATGAATATATGGTTTAGGTGTTTCTATGATCATTGTCATATGTCAATGTGTGTTTAATAAGATGGAGATCAATGATAATTGAATATGAAGTTGATTAATAATTAAATGAAATTATTACAATTTTAATAAGTGGAAGTAAATAATAGAATAATTATTTTTATAACGGACGAATAAAGTGAAGCACCGATATTTTATTTACCTAAGCAAATTCTTTTCTAGATAAACATATTTGTGATGAATAAAATTTGATGATTGAAATATTATTTGAATTATTTTATCTAATGGACTATAAAATCTGTTTAGAATTTAATATTAAAATCTTTATTAATGACAGTCTTAGTTTAATAGATATTTCAAAAGATTTTATTGTTTTAATTGTAAAAGATTGATTTGCTAGAGTGTATTTCTACGATAATATTAAATTAGAATAAACAACAAATTTCCTTTTCGATCATATTCATTTGTTTTCTGAGATAATTTTTGAATTAAAATAAAATCTTTATTTATCTTCAGTATAACTTCATTCACTCTCAATTTATTCTAGCTGAATCGATTTAGAAGAGAGTATTATTCACTTTTAGAGTGTGAGTGTGTGGATGTGTTTACATGGATATGCTGTAGATGTGAGATAATAACAGCACCAACACTCATACCCTCTAATGGTTTAATCATATAAAATGTTTTAATTTTAAGAATATTCCAAATAGATCTTCTACAATTGATAGATGACGATAGAAAAAGATTGCTATAACTAGTAGAGACGTATCTGCAACATAAAGCAAGGATCATCAATTTAGAAGTAGACTAAAGTATCGTACGGCTTACAAGAGAATTCAAAATGGTGGAAGGATTTGAGATGAATGAAATAATTGTCGTTTATTGAAGAAATACTACTGATATGACTCGAGTAAGAATCATGGATATAAAAATAAACTATAATATTTCTGGTTATCGCAAATCAATCTCGGTGCATTTTAATTAATGGTTGTCTATTCGATGTTCAATCCTATTCTGCGGAATGATACTATATATTTGTGTTGAATTTCGAAAAAAACTAATTAAAGTGGCAACAATAGATATTCTTACAGTATACTTACGCGCACTCTACAATCGCAGTAAATTAGACGAAAATTAAATGTACTTATCTATCGCGACTTCTATGTTAATTCTAAACTTTAATATTTATAGAATATATAATTAATAATTATGTTCATGTTGGTAAATGAGATCAACATATCTCTTTCACATTTTCTCGGATTCCATATGATAAACGTCATCATTGTACTGCGTATTAACATACTATAGAATATTTTTCCAGTTGTAAGTATCAACAAGAAAGTGGATATTCTTCGTGAGAGAACAAATTATCGGTTGTTTTCTACAATATAGAAAAATAAGTATTCATGTTTCCGAAGAGAATAAAAAAAAGTATGTCATTCATTTCCTTTCTTTCCATTTAGATGTTAGTCATCGCTTCTACTATACATAGTAATAGAAACATAAAATAGAGAATATTCAGTGTAGTATATGCGCATATCAATATGAGACAGTTACACAGCCGGCACTAGTACTAACTTCCCTTAGCATGAAGATGTGAGTGAGCTGTTCATCTGTTATTGTGGCCCACATGCACACTCTGAAGTTATTATTGATTTTCCAATTTCTTTAAAAACAATTTTTCTAAAATATCAAACATTTTCGGAGTAATGAAAATTCCATGAATGAATAATAATAGTTTGTAAAATTTTCTGACCCACTTTCAGTAACATTTAATCTAGACTAATCCAATAGATTCTGACAATTAAATGCATTGGAGATGAAAACAAATGAATTTATTTATACCAACTAGTTTCATTACATTTATTTTCATCTTTAATGTATTTATTTGAGTAATTTCACTAGGGTGTTTTGCTGATTTAGAAGAAAGAAAAGGAACGTCATAGAATGACTTTTAGATCGTTGGAATATATAATTCCAAGAACATGCTCTTATCTTGTCTATCGATGGAAGTTAATATAGTGCAAAAAATTAAAACATTTATGCTTGAGACAGCTACGCGTATGACGTCGGAAAAATTATCTTGTAATCAACATTGATTAAAAAATACACAAAGGATAGAATGAGAACAGAACTCTTTTGGCAATTCAGCGTTGACTTATTAACCGCCACTGTGCTTTTGCACTAATTTCTTTTTCATAATTACACAACAGAAAAACGTACCATGCATCTGCTTTAATGAAATCTTCTAATCCAGAGGCAGCATATTGCCTGCATACACATCTCTGTTTTTACCATCACAATATTCTGATTTTTCTCTTGTTTCAAACAGAAAATTTACAGAGTGCGTTTCTCAATTGAGTTTTTTAGTTCTCTGAGAAAAGCAGATAGTAGAACTTCGTAAGGAAGAACTCTTTAGTACTCCTTACACGAGGATTTATGGGACGTCTTAATACGAGCGATACATGAAAAGATAGGTGTGTGCCATTGAAACGAAATAATAAGTAAAGCATATTGTCTGCATTTTTTATGCTGATCATTTCTTTTATCATTACAGATAACGACTGTTGCTCACTCTACGTGATGTCTTCGATAGCTGATACTCTCATCATTGTACAACAAACAATTACTCGCTATATTTTTCCCGTTTTTCTGGTATTGGGTAACTTCGGTAATCTGATTTGCATTGCTATTTTTTCCCAAAAACACCATCGACGTAGTTCCTGTTCGATGTACCTGTTTGCTGCTGCTGTGTGTAGTCTCATAGGCGTTAATTGGGGACTTGGCACTAATACCTATGCTTTCTATCAACCACCAGACCCATTCATTAAGTCACTCAGTCTCTGTCGCATTCGAGGTTATATCCTACAAGCATCTTCGATTCTTCATCGTACATTGACTGTATTGGCATGTGCAGATCGATATGCAATGAGTTCGACTCAAGTCACCACGCGTAAGTTTAGTACACCAAAAATGGCATTGAAAATGATCTCCGGTGCCACTCTTTTGTGTATGCTCATTTCAATTCATTTGCCAATTTTAGAGACTATCGAAAACAGTCGATGCGGCACTTTTGGAACTTATGGATTCTTTTTTAGCATCTATCTCATTTGCATTTATGGTGTGATTATACCGGGTCTCGCAATTCTCTTCAGCGTTCTCATCCTGAAGAATCTGAAAGCGGTTCGTACTCGTGTTCAACCTCTTCAAGGAACAAACAATGCGCCACAACATGTTTTACTGAAACGTGATATGAATATGCTGAGACTTGCCTTTGCTGAAGTAGCGGTCGGTATTCTTCTCAATTTTTTATATCCAACGAATTCGTTGTACACAATACTGACAAGTAATGTACCGAATAAGAGTCGAGATCGCACTCAGATCGAAGCATTCGTTAATTTTCTTGGACTTATTGTCTTGTTTTATCTAAATTATTGTATTACGTTCTATCTGTACCTAGCTATATCCAAACCCTTTCGTCAAGAAATCAAACGGCTCGTTACCAAGTACATCAAACGATCAAAACGAGAACAGACAAATGTTATTACTGGTCTGATAGCTCTACGACAACGAGAAACACACTTAAGGTTGGGTGAGAGTAAGTTTGGTAATAATCAATCAAATTCTCACCCACAACCACATCCTCAAGAAACAGTAAATACAAAACATACTTGATCACATAATTATAAAATGGAAACGATTGTAATTTGACTTACTCTTGATTTTGTTTGTGATTCTTTTATTCACTTATATATTATATTCAGATTCTTCTTGAGGGTGGTTGTGAGAGATGAATATAATATCTATACCCACACCCTCAAGATGATTAACATTTCTTTTTTAAATGTATTTAGTAGAATTAGTAACGCTACTGCAGTAGTCGTTTGGCTACTAAAAAACTCATACTCTTCTCTCAAAATACAAAATCTGATATTTTGATAAAGTATGACTATAATTCGAATCTATCTAGATGCGTGCTAGACCCAAAATAAAGCTCGCTTAATATGGAATTAGTTTTGCGTGATTGTCATACAGCATGTATAATCTGACAACTCTACCAATTTGCCGTACACGCACATACAAGAACTCAACTGAATTAATGTGCAATTTCCGCAAACAAGATATATGGTGCATTACAAAAGCTTTTTTTACCCCCTTCCTCTAAATGCCTCAGTTTGAACTCAATTATTAATTACGTATACTAAGTATAAAAGAAATGATAGATTACAACAAAGCACTAGACTTAGAAGGCTAAAATTTTGCACATCGTCCTAAATATGTATGAACATTATATCTGTAGAATTATTTACATTCAAAAAACCATCTAAATATTTTCGCTTGTTTAGATAATGCTCATATTTTTCTTTTTTAATTAAAATAATCCAGCCATAAATACCGGTGATACTTTTTTTATTAGCGGAAATATATGTCGTGTATAAATTAATTTGATAGTAGGCGACAAACGCAAAAAAGCTTTTATATTTACAATCAAATAGAATCATCTTTAAATTCGTCACGATCCAAGACTACACGTAATCT